ATATATATATATATATATATATATATTATAAAGAACACTGAAAAATATATTAACTCAACTTGTCTCAAGCGTCGATTTTATCCGCTTATTCGGCAATCTATAAAAATTAATGTCTCGTTAACTATTGCGGAAATTTGCAAAATGATTTATAAGATTTTCGATGACGTTTTTGAGGTTTTCACTAGTATTTTCTTCAAAGATAGTTTGCGGGTTATTGCCGTGTTCTTATTCATTGCTAATGCCAACGTTTCGTGAATAAGATTCATGAAAATTGTCATTATCAATTGATAAAGACAAGACGATAACCTGAAAACCTACTGATATCTTTGATTTATAAGTTTTAGACTCAGTTTTTGATTAGAAATAGCGCTCTACTGTTTTTCTAGCGCTTGATTATGTTACATCTTGTATATATGTATATTAACTAAACATAAATAACAATAAATATTTATTTCTCTGGTGAAAATTTTTCTCATAATTTTTATATGAATTGGAACATTTTTCAGAAATACTTAGAAATATTCGGAAAGTTTACATCTTCTCTCAAAATTTCTCATACAAGTGAATTCTGAAATATTTTGAAATTTCTTACCCCATAATTTTTAAAAGGTATTTTTAAATTTTTTAGATTTTGTAACATTTCATTAGAAATTATACTTACAAAAAATCTTAAAAAGCCTACGATATTTTATAATTAACATATAAAAAATTCTGAGAAAAATTTTTACCAGAGTTATCTTAGTAATATGATCTTTCATTTTAGCTGCAAGATGCAGCGAGATCATTTGTCGTTACAAATAATATCGCAATCTTCGATGGTTCTTTATAATCCGCCCTTAAAATTTCAATAATAACTTAGAACGCAACAAAAAAAAATATAGAAAATATGAATTGTTCTATTATATTATATGTTTCAAATTTGCAAGTTAATGTATATGTATGCGATTATCTTCCAAGCACTACTTCACTTTTAATGTTATCGTGTTGAATATATTAACATATTTGAACAAATTATTATAAATTATTGCAAACCGTTGAAATTTATTTACTAACTGACTTAACAACTAGGACGAAGTTATTCAAATGTTTTGTTAAATAGTGAAAGTTTTTTACTTAGAAACAAACAGAACTTGTAGCACACCTGCATCAACAGTAACTTCTGTTTTTTTCATCTGAAAAAGGTAAATAGAATTATAATACAAATAATCGTAATATTGATTTAACTGCTTAGGATACGTCACTGGCGGATGATGAATTAACATTATTATCTATTCTATTTTTGTATACTATATATTTACAAATAGCGCTAATATTGAAATGCACGTTGCTTATTCTGTATCTTATCTGAAATGTTTTTCAATTTAATCTCGACAATCCTATTTTATATTTTTAAAATCAAATTACAGTTTTGTTTGTATGTATATGTATATTACATAATTGTACAATATATATATTACATGATCGTCATCAGATACACTTAAAAAAATATTTTGCTGCTCCAGCTAAAATTATCGCTGTTTTTTGTATCTGATAGAAAATTATGTATCATATAATTTATAGTACAAATCTAAATTCTATCTCTGTCATCTATGATTAGATGCAATACATATCCAATATCGCAGTACTTGCTAGAAATTTAACTATTTTAGCTAATTTTTCGTACTTAGATAATTTTCGCTATAACTGCAAGATCTTTTTTGATTGTAATAGGCTTTCTTTTCAATAAGCCATTAATCATAAATCAGAAGTCAGAAGTCTAAATATTCACAACTGTGATTGGTCAATTTTCAGCTTCTGACTTTTATACCCATAAGAAATTAATTTAACCAGCGACATATATAACATATGTTTTCTTTTTGAATTGCTTCAAGTAAATTACTAGAATAGAAACAACATAGAACGCATAATATCTTGTGATTTACTAAAATACAAGCAGTCAAGCAAAAAAACATACATCATGTGACCCCACTCATTTTTCTTTATTTATTTTTTACAATTTTAATCAACAATCGTGACAGTGATCCTGTCAGGCTAGAAATTATAAGTTTGTTCGCGTCGCATGCTCCAACATACTCCAACATGTCTGCCTGTTATAGCTTTTAATCACTTCAACGAGCGCGTTAGAGTGAGTAAATGTCATAATAGAAACATTTTAGAGCATGTCAGAGCGACACGAATAAACCTTATCTCTTCTTTACGTGGAAATAAAATTGACTCAGATACATAAACTATTCACAGACACACTAACAGATACATAAACGTTTCTCAGTTGTGTTTTTGTTTGAGATACTAGCGATTTTAGTATCTTCCTTCCACAGTTTATTTTTGCATCTATATAACGAAATAACACTGATAACGTTCAAGAATTTTAGTAATAAATAGCAGTTTTTGTATTCTTTGGATCACTTTGATCTCTAACACGTAACTTTATGTGATTTAATTCGGCGTATTATTTAACATTTTACTTGTATATATTGTGTTATTTTTATGAAATAATTTTTTCACAATAATAACGAGATATTAATTTCTAAATATGGCCGAATAAGCAAGCAAAATCGATGCATAAGACAACTTAAAAATATTTTTCAGTATTCATTACGAAATATCTTAAAGATGTTATTAAAGAACTCTTAAAGATACCTTAAAGTTATTTTATTCGTCGATTTTAGACATTCTACACATTGTAACTAAAAAAAAATTATTAAAATTGTAAAATGATACAGAACTTTCGACTCAGTTTAATCCTCTCTACCTGCTTACCTGCCTACGAGCGTTATTGGGAAAGATACTAGATATCCAGTAAAATTATGAAAAATTTTTACATACAACATATTAATATTTTACACAATGTTTGAATTTTCTTAATTTTTTAAACATAAATATATATTTAGTTTTAAAATAATATCTATAATATGATATTATGAATAATTTCCAGTTTAAAAAGCAAATAGTAACGTTCGTTAATATTTTGTTATTTTCTAATAATGAAAATATTTCGTGATATTCTCATTAATTTTTATAAGAGTTATTGTAAAAAATGAATGTGCAAATAAACAAATAATGTACATAAGAAAATTATGTGATCATCTTATGTTATTATCGGAATTATTGCTAGCTTTGAACAATTATATTATTTAAATAATACTCATGTATTTTGTGCATTCATAAGTACAATAATAATTAAAATGTATTTAATCATTTTTATTGTCTGTATTTACTCCATCGTCTGTATTACTACGAGGAGGAAGATTATGTACAGATAACGTATTCTGTCTAAAGCAAATTATCGGGAAAAAAACAGTTGTAAAGTGCACATTCGTGGATCTAAAAAGCAAATTATGGACAATATTGCGAGAATCAAATATAAATTATACTTTGATAAAGGCCCTACGAAATCTATATGACAATTCCATATCAAGAATAAAAATAGAAAAGTGTTTAAGTAATGGAAAAGTTTGCTGTTAATGGTTTAAGACAAGGGTATTGCATATCACCAACGTTGTTCAAAATCTATGCAACTGCAGTCCTTAAAGTGTGGAAGAGAAAGGTTCACGGCATGGGTGTGGAACTTAATGACAATTGTTTCTATACTTCACAATTTGCCAATGATTAAGTGGTAATAACTAATAAAGAGAAAATGAAACATGTCATGAAAAAATTGCTGAAAGAATACAAAAACTGGAAACTCTTTTATAGTGAATATTGATAAGACCAAATATTTATGCGGGCACGGAGAGACAAATTATTTATGGAAACTAAGGAAAAGATTTGATCTTGTAGAAAATATGTAAGTAACAATGGTCTATATTCTATACGGTACAGACAACCGAAAAATTGAAAGAAGGATAACCCAAGGAAAAAAAGTTATAAATTGCCTAAATGAAAATCTTTTAGAATAAGAACATATTGAAAAAACGTAAATAAAACATCTATGAAACAATGATAAAAAATTATTATATGATGCAGAGACATAGAGAGTTACAGATAAGTATAGAAGGTAACTTGAAGATGTGAATAAAAATGGATGCAATGAGAAGATCTTTAAGAATATATATATATATCAAGAATGGACAGATAGAGAAATGAAAACATAAAACAACAAATGGGCATCGAAAAGAATAAATGATATCAACAAGAAACAACTCATATGGACATGTACCTATGACGAATACCGGAGATTACCAAAACGGGTTCTAGAATGATGATCTTTAAAACGTTGAAAAAGAAGAAGAGCACGCATGACGTAGAAGTAATATAAAAAAAGAATACCACTTTGGCTCTAACATTCGTTTCGTTCGCACGTATCTTCGTAACCTCATTATATGTAATAAAATTTCTTAATATTATAATCAAGCTTGTTAATTCGACTGATCATGATTTTCCTTAAAAAAAAATACCACAAATCTCGACTCCTTTTGGTAAGTCTTTCTATTAAGTCTCTTTTAAAATATATTAAATGAGTATAGTTTCATTGCAGGATCCAAAATCACTTGGTCTTGCAACTATTGTGAAAGACATACATATAATTTTCCAAATGGAGCTTGAAACAATAATCACATGTACAAGTAATGTATTCACTGATGATAGCTCGGAATGATGCCAAAACGTTTGTTATTCATTAATTAATAAATCAGTGATAATTTTGTTGCGTTTCAATTATTGCCCTTGACTCTCATTACCAGTATACTTTTCCTTATTTATTGTTAATATTAGAGAATCTTATTTCGTCACTTCTTAAACTTAATATAAAAAAGGCAGAGCATGAGAAATTTAAACGAAAAGAACTATAAGGACCATAAGTCCTTAGGCAATTAAGAAAATTAGGCATCAGATAGCATCGGAAAACGTTTTAAACCGATTATATATAAACACATATGTATATATAAAGTATACGTAAAGTAATATTTTTAAAAATATAGATTCTTTTAATTTCTAACTGTTAAAAATTATTTTTTGTAATATTTATAACGTATGTAAACAATTATTTATAAAAATAAAAAATTTGGTTTACACATAAAAAATAAATTTATTAAAATATGGATCAAATTGACCCCCACGCGAACACTGTTAAAAAAAGTTCTCGACTACTAAAGGATTAAGGAATTAGATTGAAATTTGATCAATTAAAGCAAAGTTGTTTGCTAAATTCAATATTTGTTTACTTTCATGTGATTGATCAAATTTCAACCCCTAATTTTAATTTTAATCTTTAGCCTAATAGAAATATTATTATAAACGTTGCTAATCAAAATTAGAAAAAAGAAAATGCCCTATTTTTTATTTAGGTATCTTATTTTTTCAGATTGTCACGAAATTATAGTTGACTCTACATTAAGTAATATCTCGCGTGTTGTGTTATAGATCTTTTGATCTTTTGAACGTTGTTTCTATCGAATCATTATCTTATGTAACGATACACTGTATATAATTAACATTTCTCTCTGTCTCTCTCAGCCTCTCTCTCTCTCTCTCTCTTTCTCCCCCTCTGATACTTCGTGTACCTTCTTGTTACAAACTTGTTCATATATTATAATTATATAATTATATGTTAAATTATTGATTGAACATAATATTAGGTTGAGTAAAAAGTCATCGCGTATTTTTTAGCTCAAAGTTGTATATACAATATCTTCGTCAATAATGAATGAAATTCAAATTTAAAAAAAGGGTTTTAAAGCTTGAAATCTCTACTTTTAAAAGCTTATCACATTTTTTAAGTTTATATGAGTTTGATAATTTTTACATACCAAAAACTACGAGCTGAAAAAGACGAAAAATTTTCTTCTCACTTTGTGGATTTGTAACGTGTCCAAAACGAATTTGAGAAAATTTTCGATTACCTATCGTGAAAGCTTGATACTTTCCCTACAAAATCGTTTTTTTTAAATATTCCTACGACTTTTGATTACTGAGTTATCGCGGATTAAATAAAAGAATTATTTTGACTTTAATTGCTCATAACTCCATTAAAAATTGTCGTATCGTATAATTTAAAAAAGAGATTTTTAAAGCTGAAACTTTACTCTATTAAGATATATTTATATTGTTGGTAAGAAAGTAATTGCGATTTTTACTGATAGATGTCTTTTAAAAAAACGCGATGACTTTTTACTTAACCTAATATAACATGTTAATGTATACAATGTGATAACTCAAACAGTATAAATATTAAAAGACTTTTTTTCGTTATCTATGTCTAAAAGATAATGAAAAGACATTGTTTTTAGATTGCTTTTCAGCAAGACTAAAAGATATCTAAAAGATATTTTTTTCGTATTGCCGAAAAAACAATATTAAAAAGATATCTTTTTATTATTTTGATACTTTTTATCACTCATTTGAGAGTAGTTCGCGAGATTGCCATCAGAAGAACGTGATGGAGTTCAGTTTTCCGTGTTTGAAAATCATCAGGACAGAATAAAAGGTGCAGCATAATAAGAAATTTTACTCGTGTTCTAATGAACACTAATAAAATATTTTTTTGTAATCGAGTCCCGAAAGAATTATGATGAAAGATAATGAATCTTGCACGTAGGACACGGCAAACATTGCAAGAAATGGGACGTAAATTGTGAGTCGTGCAATTTTATTTCGTTTTGTAAAAATTAATTTAAAAATTCGATGTTATTAAACGTTGTATCAAAATATAATAATTAAAAGAAGTATTAAAGATGACTAAATTATAATAAATAAAAAATATCCAAAGAAGTCATTCTTTAATTATCATATGAATTATTATTATTATTATTATTATTAGGCGTTAGGAACTCGAAAGTTCATTACCGCAAATACCAAATCCCGCCACTGTTCCCGTCCCTGAGCCAGATCCCTCCATTTGTGACCCTCGTACCCCATTTCGTTAAGGTCCATTCTAATATTTTCTTCCCATCTACGTCTTGGTCTACCCAATTATCATATGAATAAGACTGTAAAATGACTAGCAATGCGACATCTGTCATCTTTTTTCTTTCGTCGACTCTTTCATTAAAAGATATCTTTGTAACAATTTAGTCCTCTTTTAGTCATCTTTTAGACGACTTCGTGCTCTCTTATATAGGAATACCTATAAATCTGGTAAATATTGTTACTCTCCTATCTACAAAACGTAGAAATCATAATTTCTTCTTTTTACTACAATTACTACAAGATTAGACATAACATGAAAACTTTAAAAAGTAAGAAAATAGGATTTGCTCATTATCAGTCCCCTCTACAGATAAGTTGAATTGCTCATTTGAATTCATCAATCATTTATTCGCTTGTTTATATAGTCATTCATTTATTCAGTTGTAAGTTTGTAACTTTATCATCACAGATGACTTGATTCTTAAACTAAAGCTAAGTTTATGAAAAGAAAAGCAAGGAAGCATTATATCATCAGTATTTTTGTTTGTCTCTTGTTTGATGACAAACGACAATTACAAATAGTAATTAAATGTAATTTTTCTGATAGATTACCTAAGGTAATCACTGCAGACTGAATTCAGAATATATATTTATGATACAACACATGTACAAATTTTATATGAATTCAGTTAGTATTGTGCGACATGTGTTTTTAAATACACGCAACAGTTTTCTATCCCCACTATATGTTATCTATGTAACTTAAACGATAATACAAATCTACAAATATCAGTCTATCATTGGGTGCACCAACGTGCAGCAATATGACGTAATATTGAAAGTGTGTGATTCATTTAATTTACAAACGCCGTTATTTAAAAATTTATCGATAAAATTTAATCTAAGATTTAAATATTAACAAATCAAAATAAAAACTAAATTTAATTTATATTAATCTAAAATATTAATCTATAATATTATAAAAGGGATAAAGAAATTATAAATTAACAAAAAATTAATAAAGTTTTAATAACTTTAAATTAATCGTTAACTCAGTTTATTAACTTTTTTTATGTAATTTTTTTAGGTAATTTGGACTGAAAATTATATAACAATACGAATAAAAAATGCGAGTGCTACTAGTGATTTTTGCTTTGTTGTTTTGCCTGTCGATTTGCCATGGATATCGTTTGCTCGGAATATTTCCATTTCATGGTAAAAGTCATTTTGTTATGGTCGAGCAATTGATGAAGGGCCTAGCCAGAAAGGGTCATCAAGTCGACATGGTCAGCAAATTTCCTCTGAAGAAACCTTATCCAAATTACACCGATATCGTGATATTGCCAACAAATGTGCATTTGGTGAACAATATGTCGTTCGAACTAATGCAAAAACTGATTACCTCAAGTCCAGTAAACGCCGTTTCGACATGGGCAGGAAACGAACTTTGTGACTTGTTAGGAAATCCAGAAATTAAAGAACTAGCTAAACCAAAGGATCCACCTTATGATGCTGTATTTATAGAGGTATTGTAAACACGAAAGAAGGACGTTATTCTTTCTAAATTTATAATAAAAATCTAATTAAAAAATCTACTAAAAAATTATTTTTTGATACGTACACGTATATATGTTTTTAGAAAGATTTTTTCAATAATTATTTTTTCAATTAATTTCTAGATATATATTTTTGAGATACAATAATATTTTGATAAAAAAATATTTCGAGATAGAATATTTTGAGGTAGAGTATTTTGATAAAAATCACATTTTATAAAAGAATATTTCGATAAGAATGATTATAACAAAGATGAACATAAAATTAATAAAAAATTATGTCTTAAATAATTAGCAAGCAAAGGCATTTACTGAAGTATATTTTTTAAACCTTTAACTAAAAAAACAGGAGTATCGAATAATTAAAATATATAATCAACAGTATATCCTGAAATTAAATTCAACATATTTTTAATGTTTTTAGAAAAATATGATATCAATAATTTGATATCTGTTCAAAATTTAAGCATTTATTCAATAGCATATTAGATATATATTAATATAATATTTTGCCAATTTTTTGTCGTAACCATTAATCTATAAATTGATTAAATTTTGCCTACTCGGTCTGTAAAAACTAATAATTTTATAAAGGAAGCTTGCACGTGTGTGTACGGCAAGCACAATCTACAAAACTTGTCGTCAATATCTCTATTAATAATATGTAGAATGTAATTTTACCCGATTTAAACATCACAAATTTTCATCGATCATTATTCATACCAATTTTCTATCGTAACATTATCTTTTATCTAATCCTCTTACGTAAACGTCAATAGGTAGTTCGCGTTTTGCTTCTGACGTAAGAGATGAACTTTTAATTCTTCCTTCAATGTTCCAAGAACACGAAACTGATACAATGATCATTCATGTTATTACGACCATGACATGTATAAATCACTCTAAATTGTTTTAAATGATCACGAATCAAAGCGACAACCGTGACTTCCTTAATTAACATACGTATCTCTTTTACACATCTTATTTCATTTAACAACCAATTTTTACAATGGAATGTAATTATTTTAGTTAAAAATAAAAATGAACAAATTAGATGTAAATTTTTGCTAACACATTCTGTTAAATAAATGAAAAGAAGTTTAGAATTCTATAAAAAGCCGAATAAATAGGTTTTTTTTAGAAATATTTAAAAGAAATACGACGACACCAAAAATAAATATTAATTGACAAATTTATTATACGTGATATGAAAATCAAATATCTATAGAAATATCGTGACACTATGCATTAATATGTAGATTGCATAAGCATAAGTATTTGCAATACATTGCACAAGTTGAATAAAAAATGACCATTTCTTTCCCTTGTCTCGCATTTTAAATTATAGCAAACACTTGTTTTGCAAACGTCTAGAACAACAAAGAGAATGACAAAATTTGTTTGTTCAATTTACTTGTTCCCTTCATCTAGGCTAAGCAATCAAATACATTAGTTTGCAGCAAAAAATTACTAAACTAAACTAAGTATTTATTATAGATTTATGGATACTAAAAACGATGTCGCAAGCCAAATTCCACCATCACGTTAGATTTTCTAAATGATTTAATAAAAATTGTATTTAATTTAGGGGGGATTATTAGCGTCTCAGATTGATTGTGTTGAAAGTCCAAAGTTTGGGATATCCGACAATGAGATAAATTGATTTAATATAGGAATATTCGAATGTTTCGGCGCGCAATATTTTAAATTTAAAAAAGAATATATATTGTATTATTTGAAATATTTAATTTGATACTTATTGGCGTTCTTTATCATATTTAATTAAAATTGTTTTTTACGATATTTGACTTTTTTTTTTAAAAGTTAATGTTATCTTAAAATTTTGATTAAAAGTCTTGAATGTATTGTTTATTTCTTATATTAAAAAAATTTTTAATATCTTATTTATTAAAAAAATGTTTCAGATAAAAGTTGTATAGTCTGTGTATGTGTACTAATAGCTACAAATTAGGAATTATAAATATATATGTATGTAAATGTATACATATATAATACATATATGTGTATATACGCATATATATATGACTTTATTATTATAGGCAAAAAATTTATCTTAGAAAAATCCCGTATTTAAATCCTTTATAATATGGTAAAATGTAAGATACTGAAATAACAAAAATTGAATTCTGTAAGGAGTGAACAATATAATACAATTGTGACTTCTGATCAGAATTTCAAGATAACGTTAACCAGTTTTTTTAATGTCAAATATCTCAAAAAAATAATTTAACAATTTCGGAAACACGTCGTGTTGGTGAAATTTGGCTTGCGACATTTTTATTTTCAGCATTCATAAATCCATAAGAAACATTTAGTTTGGTAATTTATAAGAAAACATTTTTTGTTAACTAGTGTCATTATCAAAATTACATCACTGTTGTACACATGATGCAATTATTATATGTAATTATTATTTTATTTTACAATAAATGAAAAAACGAGCAATTAAGAACCTAGATTCGCAATAATTGAAGCGATTATATCAATTATATATTTCTCAGTACTACATATATATATAACAAATACCAAACGTTTTAGTTTAATTCAAGCCATCTTCAGCAGTCTGGTATAATAAAATCTCTTAATAAATAATTTAAAACATAATAGTCTCATATAATACAATTTTCTTAATACAATTCAAATAATCATAAATCAAAGTAATCGAGTGCAAGGTAATCTCTCAGATTACCAAATCTGAAATATAATATGTAACCGTCATTTAGCTGTTAGATTAAGTGCGAGCTACTGCACTTCATAACTGCACAATAAAATGCTATAAATTAAATCACGATCGGCAAAAAGAATTTCACAACGCTAAGCATCTTTAGCGACATATTTACAGTGTCAAAGCAGAGTCACGTATGACTGCACTCGATTATTCTGGGCATTAGTTGATTAATTAATATCTAATATTTCATTAATGAAATTAATGAAATTTTTTAATAATCATTTATTTAGATATTCATATGTTTATTTTAGGTTTTTGGTGCGCAATGTTATAGTGTCATTGCTTACATGTTAAAAGTTCCTTTGATTGGTATCAGCACGACGTCATTGTACCCGTGGCTATATGACATGATCGCTCAACCTGAGAGCCTGGCCTTCGTGCCAAATAACGTTATAAGTTTAACCGAACCCATGAATTTCTGGCACCGTTTGTATAACGTCGTGCACACATTCTTCGACAAGTGGTACTTTAATTATCTTACGACACGGGAGCAAGACAGAATAATAAGGGAACACTTCGGGCCGGACGTACCGAGTGTACGGGAATTGGAAAAGAAGGTGTCGCTGGTCCTCATCAACTCTCACATCGCGCTAAATGGGATACAGCCGAGGACAGCTGCTGCGGTAGACGTGGGGGGAATCCACGTCCAGGACGAAGACGAAACATTGCAACCTGTAAGTCGGCTTTTATGACCCGTTTTCGTGATCGTTTTCACTTTTTCGATATAGCGCATGCCAACGAATCACGAGCTCGCGCGCATAATGATTCTGTAACATAACGTTAATAATACTCCTCCGTAAAGTGATACATCATTTGACGTGTGAGTAAGCAGTATGCAAAATATTTTTTTTTTTTTCAAGAATTTCTCTGGAAATGTTTATCGATCGAGATTTCACAACATAAAACACTATCATTTTCTCGTTTCTTATCTGCAAAAATTACTTTGTAGACAGTTTTTTTATAATAAATTATATGCTTATGTTTGCGTCATCGCCTGATTATAATAACTGTATTAACATTGAACTTTTCATCGTTTCTTAATATCGTGAAATATTTCGCAATACAATATCGCGATAACGTTTTTCTAACAAGAAAAATATGAAATATTAAATAGTTTGAACACATAGTCTATCATATATACAGTGACCATACGTCCTTTATTATAAAGAATAGTTTTTTATTTCAAATAGCTGTTGCTTAGATTTATTTTTTTTTAACTAAATTTTTATTTTTTTTAATAATATTACTTTAATAATAAATTATGAGGAATTCATTTCTAATTAGCATTCCAATATCTAATATAGTTTAAGAATAAAAACCTAAAATTTTTAGCTTTTCCCTTTATTTTCTTTAAAAAAATATGGTCACATTATATGTAATCGTAGAATTTATTCATAGTAACACGATTTGTGGTTGCTGTTGTGAATGCTATTAACGAGATATACGTATCTCCTCCTCGTCTAAAATTAATTATAATAAACGTTTAATCATGTGACGCGATAGCAAATATAAGCACAGCATGAAATACAAATATAACACAAGCATGACCGCGTGAATAACATGTATATGTAAATTTATTACTGTACATTTCATTATCGAGCAATAATCGACAAATGTTCTTTTCTTAGTTCCTTACATTATAACAATTAAATAACAATTGACACATGTTATATAACACGTGTTAGTTGTAATTTCATTACTGTTTTATTTTATACCTATACAAAAGATAACGTAAACGATAGCATTAATATATTATTTTACCTAACATATTAACATTTTGTACATTCATTTACTGTTATCAAGGTACATAATTTAGGTACATAATTTGTTTTATTTATGCTAACAATGTCTTTGCTGCAGGAATTAGAAAAATGGATGAATGATAGTAAAGATGGTTTCATTTATTTCACTTTTGGCTCGATGATGATGATTGAGACTTTTCCACACGAGTTCCTGAGAATGCTTTACGCCTCCTTAGGTAAAATAGCACCCGTGCGGGTTATAATGAAGATACCGAAGCCGGAAAAATTGCCAGCCAATTTGCCCGAAAACATTTACATTTCCCCTTGGATGCCACAAATTAAAATATTGAGTGAGTATCAAAAAAGACAAATACGAATTTTATGTAAAAATTAAATGTCAGAGAAATATAAATTTTATATAATTTTTACATAAAATTTAAATATTGCGAATATTTGTAAATACTTAATTGCAAGTTGTCTTTCCTGAATTAAGGAAATTATAAAATTGTCTAATATGCTGTAGAACATCCTAACATAAAAGCCTTTATCACTCACGGCGGACTCATGGGCACGTTGGAAGCGATAGTATGCGGTGTCCCCATGATCGGTATACCACTTTTCGCCGATCAGTTTACAAATATCGACAGGTATGTCGCTAGAAACATTGCCTTGCGACTAGACATCAGTACGATTACCGAAAAAAGCTTCGACGCAGCCTTAAATGCAATCTTACGAGACCCCCTGTATAGGTATGCAGACTCGTATCTTTTATTTTGCATATTATTATTAGACAAGAACATATTTATGCATCAAT